CTTCTTAATAACCTTTGTCATTTTTACTTTACAAACTTGGGGATCCTTCTAATCGGAATCACCCAACCAAGCATGTTTGGGGTGGTGAAGGCTAGCCATGCCTGGGTTTGGCTGGGCATACTCACGTGCTTGACAGTGACTGTTAAGCCCTCACCGTTTTCTAAACCTTAGTTTACTAAACCCACACCTAAAACACAGGCTTATGATACCAAACATACATACATCCCAAAAGGCTCCTAAATGTTTTTCGTATCTCACAAGATTTCATAAGATGATAGCAGAAACTATGGTAGAGACAGACGGCCTAGTACAGAAGAACATGAAAACAAAACAGCGCCTGTAAATTTAACTTTAGGCGTAGCAATGGAGGCTATGTTGCTTGGGGGTTTTCAGTGGTGAATACTTCCTAGTGTGGATCATGTCTAGGTTGACAGAAAATGTGTCGATTATTGTGAGTACTCATTTCTGATGTCCTTGCAGTGCTACAGTTTTCTCTTTCGGCATGCTGGCTTGTCCTGTCACTGCAATGTGTGCAATGTTCTTTGAGGTGAGCCGCAGCTCAAAAATACTTCATAATCAAATCCTCTTACTTTCAGAGAGCTATATACCTTTTTTTCCTTGTACCGTGGCTGTTCTTCCTTGACTGGAATGCAGATACATGGTTTATTGAAGCGTGGATCATTTTCTTAATGCAGGATCTGGTAATGCCAAGTCTATATTCAATTTTCATGATGCTAGTGCTTGGTCTGCTTGCCTTCTTGGCCGAGGTAATTTTGACTCCATTAGGGCTATAATATGATGAACAGTCAAAGCAATGAACTGGCCGACATTTTATGCACAATTTAATTGAGCTGTCTATTGCAATTTCCAACTGAAGGTCTGTTGGGCTCGGGGACTTCAACTTGAGAAAACCAGCAAAGTAGCCAACCTTCGGTATATGGAGGTAACTTAACCAGCTTTCTTTGTTTATGTCCTTACTCAAAAGTTTTTCTAAATTGAGGAACCCTAAATTCCAGGCTTCACTGGTGCAATTGTGGCATATTGGAGTATTAGGAGTGGCTCCGTTTGGCCCAATAGTTGGAGTCCTAATTATTTTGATCTCTACGTGTTGGACGTTATATGTTGGTCCCGACAGAGACACTGAGTAATATGTACTCGGCAAAGAACTTCCCCCCTTTTTTTTTTGTAGTGTGTTATTGATTACCTTCCATTGTTAACATTTTTCATTTTAACATTTATAAAAGTGTATTATTGATTTAAGGATATTGTTACTTAGAAATTGTTCAACAAATGATATTAAGATTGCATCCCAAGTGAATCCCATAACACAAAACTACAAATGCAAGTGATATCAAGATTTCAAAGCCTCAGATAGCCAGTCTATTTGACATCAATGAAAACTCAGCCGGTAATTCCAACTAAAACAGAACAAATCCTCATTGGCTTTTCAGTTCATGAAATTAAATTTGAGACAAAAACTGGGAATAGAACGATAAGATGAATTTGAATGTTGAAATAAATGGAATAGAAGAAATGTAATCACACAAAACGGCTCTGTAAATCCATAGAAAAAGATGAACAGATTCCTATCAAGATGTAAAAGATTTGTTTTTGGTTCAATCATAGCATCGACGGTCACCGCCATTGAGCTACCGACGACGTGGCATCGAACCGCAGAACAAAAAACAAACACAAAATCCTCAGAGACCCGTTTCAAATCAACCACACAGGAGAATCACATAACCGGCTGCAAATTCCCGACCAGTAAAAACCCCGACGAAACCAGATCGCTCCGGTAAAGAGACGAATCGGAGACGGAGCTCACTGGCGGATGGGAACCACAGCCGAGTTCCATGGCTTCTCGCTGCGATTTGGAGTGTCATACGGCACTTCCTATCAATTTTGGGAGAGCTTCCTCATTGGATTCAAACACTAAACCCTAAACCAACAAATCCTATTGCAAATTCGGAAAGAAAGAAATCCAAAGCCGCTGAAATAAAAGGAATCATAATTAGGGACGAATTCAACTTCAGAAAGATGAAGATGACGACGGAGATTGGTCGGTATTTATGGAGGCGAGAGAGGCCGAGAGTTTAGGGGCCCTGAATTTGTAGCCCTAATTTCTGACGTTGATCTCAATATGGGCCGGGCTTTTTCAATATGGGCCGGGCCTTTTCAATTTGGGCCCTCAGGATCTCAATAGCTTATAACTAAAAAAAATTAAAATAATAATTTTTAAAATCGAATAAAGTAAAATAAGTGATAACCTAAAACTAAATATACCATAAAATGGTATTAAATCCTTAATATTTACACACAAAACAGCTTGCACGTGCGAGGAAGCTCACTCAATGAGCAAGGTAAAACCAAATCCAAAACGTCGTCGTTTCTTAACATGTTCGGTGGTTTCATGATTTTACGACAATCCAAAAACCAGTTCGCCGGATCGGTGACCATTTTTCAGAGAAATGAAAAGATCCACTTTACTCTTCCGCCGCCGCCGCCGCCGTGGTGTTTCATAGCATCAATTTTATCCCCATCCTCCATTCCCAGCTGAGAATCGAATCGAACCGACACACAGAAATTAGGATAAAAAAACCAAACCAAACCCCCCAAAAAAGAAGAGGTTCGAAAAAAACAACCTCATCGGCTGTTTGGTTTCCGGCAATGGCATGGCCGTCCAACAGAAACGCAATGGTTCTCAGCTCCAACGCTTGTCGTTTACAGTACGCTTTCATGAGTTTACTGAGTTGCGTCCTCTTACAAATCCTGAAATACACTTCACTCCCATCCTACCAATCAAATAAACTTCACTTTCATTTCGACGGTTTTAAGGATTCGTCCAAACAACACTGAAATCAAAAATCGAAACAGAACCTGCCCGTTGACCTTCACGTTGACATAGTTCGGGTTTCCGGGTTCTGCTTCGGGTTTCCGGATCGGTGCTTCCTGATTTTCATCCATCGTTGTCGACATTTTCGAAACTGAAATTTCTCGTTCTCGGGAAAAACTCTGTTCTGTTCAGTGGTTGCGAAGACCCCGCCTTTACACGTGTCGTAAAATCATTGGTTTAATTTCTGGCGTCTTGGGTTTCTAACTTCCTTGACTGCTTTTGTGTTTTGGGCCTCTCAATCATTTGGGCCTTTGGGCCCAACATTTTTCGACCAACCAAATCTCCGCCCGTTTAGAAAGTAATTTTGATTTTGTATTTAAAAAAATAACCATATTTCTAAATTATTGAAAAAATAAAAAAACATGATATTTTAATATTAAATAAAATTTATTAATATATCTAAAATGACCAAATATTTTTTAATTAATATATTTTTGAAATATATAATCATATTGTTGATAATGACATATATGAATATTAATAATGGTGACCTATGAATGACACTCTTTATTTATGTGTAGCCTTATTTTAGGCTACCAATTTATTGGACCTTTGACCATAAATTACTTTTTCTTTTTTTTTTTTACTCAATATAATTTAAGATTATTCATTCAAAATTTAAATTCTAAAAAAAAAGTTAATGGAATTAAAGTAAATATGACCCGAAATAGTTTAAAATTTTTCCAATAATAATTATAGGTGTCTTTAAAATAAATGCATCATAAATACAATAAAGTATTATTAAAAAAAATAAAATTTACTTTATTTTAGAATTGAATATCGAAAAAAAAAAGTAATAAACTTATTATTACTGTAATGATTCGCTGGTTTACATTTCCAATTCACTCCGGTGGACCATGTCTGATGTCAGCGACAATGCCACGTGGAAGGCATGTACGTCGACGTTACATTGAAAACGGTGTGGTCGCGATGCACTGTATTAAAAATGACAAATTTTTTAGCAGTACCAGGAAAACGGTCGAGTTTTGTGGGCCCATTGTTGTCCAAACGGTTCTGGCGTGGATCGGGATCTTGACCGTTCATTTTATGATTATCAGGCGTGAGGTAATCGACGGTTCAGATCCAAGGTCAAGGTTTATAACGCTATTTTACTTTCTTCCTAGCCTACAATACAAATTAAACTGCCTAAATTGTAAAACTTACCTGTGTAGTTTGTTTTACAAAAGTATAAACAAACAATGTTGGGATGATCTGAAATCGAAATTCGGACCCGAGTGTCTCCACGCTGTTTTAGGTCATCGCTATATTCGTTTAAGGTCTCGATTATCGTCCAATATAAGTACTTTTTGTAATTTAGCTTTAAAAACGTGTAATATTGGAGTTAATATTAGGATCCTATCGACTTTTTTTATATTTTCTATTTCGGTAAAATTCGGAGGAATCGAACACTTAACCTCTTGATTGATTGACAATAGGGCTCGAGACTAGCTAATAATTAGGATTTGGAGTAAAGAGTCGTGCTTTTTTTTTTCAATATAAATTGAACATCTAACCTCTTGACCGATTGACAGTAAGGTTCGAGATTGGCTAATAATTAGGGTTAGGAGTAAATAGTTGAGCATTTTTTCAACAAAAATCGTTGAGCATCTAATCTCTTAATCGTTTGACACAAGGGCTCAAAATTCACTAATAATTAAGGTTAGGAGTAAAGAGTAGTATTTTTTCAACGGGAATCGAACATCTAACATCTTGATCGATTAACAGTAGGACTCGAGATTGACCAACAATTAGGGTCATAAGTAAGAGTAGTATTTTTTCAACGAGAATCGAACACTAACATTTTGATCGATTGAGAGTAGGGCTCAAGATCGGCTAATACAATTAGGGTTAGGAATAAATAGTAGTATTTTTTGAACGAAAATCAAACATCTACAATTTTCAATAAGAATCGAACATCTAACCTCGACTGAGGGTAGGAGGCCAGATTGGCTAATAATTAAGGTTAGGAGTAGAGAGGGTTGCTTTTTCAACGGTAAAAAAGAGGGCTAAAAATGGTAGATTTTAAGATAGCCAGTAAGATTAGCTGGAAACAAAGGAGCCTGAGTTTTGAGCCCTGCCCATGTTGGGCCCATCACTGAGCTTTCTCAGTGATAAAAGACGCACCCATCACTCGCCCTCGGCCACTCACTCAGCCACTCACCCACTCTGCTCCTAACCATCCACAATTTTAGTGCTTTGTAATGGAGCGGCTAACTCTCTCCTTCTTCATCTTCCTCCTCTTCCTCTCCCCATTTGCAGGTAACCTTAACCCAAACCCAAACCATTTGACTTTTTCTGTGACAAATTGTTGGTTTTGTTTTGGTCTTCACTGTGTCCTGTTCTTTTTTTTTTTGTTGCAGAGAGTGGTTCGATCGGAGTCAACTACGGCAGAATCGCCAACGACCTCCCCTCCGCCGTCAAAGTCGTTAAGCTTCTCAAATCCCACGGCCTTCAAAGGGTCAAAGTTTACGACACCGATCCGGCGGTTCTCAGAGCACTCTCCGGCTCCGGCATTAAAGTCACCGTCGATTTGCCTAACGAACTCCTCTTCGCCGCCGCCAAACGCCTCTCCTTCGCCTACACTTGGGTCGAAAAGAATGTGGCGGCGTATTACCCTTCCACTGAAATCGAAGCCATTGCCGTCGGGAACGAAGTCTTCGTCGACCCGCATAATACGACGTCGTTTCTTGTTCCGGCGATGAAGAATATTCACCAAGCCCTCGTCAAACACAACCTCCATTCCGCCATTAAAGTCTCTTCGCCTATAGCTTTAAGCGCCTTACAAAACTCTTACCCTTCCTCAGCCGGTTCATTCCGACCGGAGCTAGTCGAACCGGTTTTCCGGCCAATGTTGGAGTTTCTCCGGCAAACTGGCTCTTATTTAATGGTTAACGCTTACCCATTTTTTGCTTACGAGTCCAACTCCGACGTGATTTCTTTAGACTACGCTCTTTTCCGGGAGAATCCCGGCGTGGTGGATTCCGGCAGTGGTTACCGGTATTTCAACTTATTTGACGCCCAAATCGACGCCGTTTTTGCCGCAATGTCGGCTCTTAAATACGACGATATTAAATTGGTGGTTACGGAAACTGGGTGGCCGTCGAAAGGCGACGAGAACGAGATCGGCGCTAGTGTTGCAAACGCCGCCGCATACAACGGGAATCTGATCCGTCGGATTTTGAGCGGCGGTGGAACTCCGTTGAGGCCGAAAGCAGATCTGACCGTCTATTTATTTGCCCTTTTCAACGAGAACAAAAAGAACGGTCCCACATCGGAAAGAAACTACGGTTTATTTTACCCTAACGAAGAGAGAGTTTACGACATCCCGTTCACTACCGAAGAGTTGAAAGATTACCACGACAAACCGTCCCCGGCGCCCGCAACCGGCGGAGACGGGCAGGCAGGTTCAGGCAGCGGCGATGGCGGTGTATCAAAGAGTCAAACCGGGAACACGTGGTGCGTTGCGAGTGGTGAAGCGGGTAAAGAGAAGCTGCAGGCAGGTCTAGATTATGCTTGTGGCGAGGGAGGAGCAGATTGCCGTCCGATCCAACCCAGTGCCACGTGTTACAATCCTAACACTCTCCAGGCACACGCTTCATATGCTTTTAATAGTTATTACCAAAAGAACGCCCGCAAGATTGGCACGTGTTACTTTGGCGGGGCGGCTTACGTCGTCACTCAACCACCTAGTAAGTACTCTATAACTCCACTCATTATTATTAATTCACCCTTTTTTTCCTTAAAATGCGCACGTTAGATAATCCGACCCGGTCCGCATTTCCATGCTAAAATGCACCGCACGGGCCCCGAGGTTGAAGAATGAGCTGCACGCCAGCTCAGTAAGAAGTCAAATTTCACGCACTAACTACTAAACAAAAGAACCCAATGTTGCTGACGTTGCACTTTTATTTTTTTCTAAAATATTTTGAAAATCCCATTTTCTGTGGTAAAAAGTGTATATATATAATACCCTTTCTAGTAAATATTTTCATTACCCTTTTTAAAGTTTTCAGTAAGTGTATTACAATCTATCATCTGGGGCGCTAGCGTTCTCGTTAGCACACCGCTTGATGTCTAACTTTGATATCATATATATATATATATATATATATATATATATTAATGTGTGGGATCGAAGAAAAAGGCATGAATTTGAAGTTTTTTTTTATTAATTTTGAATGAAAAAGAGAGAAAAAGATGGGATCTTTATAATGGGTGTGGCTCTTTATCTCTTTTTTTTACTCAATGAGAAGACAAAAACTGAAGAGAATTTGAGCTTTTGGGTTCTTTTTTTCTTTGCTTATTCTCATTCCTTTGAGCATCAAGTTTCTGAAAAAGGGCTGTCTTTTTTGTGTTCTTCTTTTCCCTTTTGGTCGCCTTTTTCTGCAGAGTTTGGTAGCTGCGAGTTCCCAACTGGTTATTGAAGAATCTCATTAATGGGAGCAGTCGAAGTGTGGAAGGGATCATAGAAACAAAAACAAATGGTTAACCTTTTAAGTTTGTTCTTAGAATATGAAACAGAATTCTTTTGTAATCCAATTGGTTTGGATAATGGCGGTTGGGTTTTAAGGTTGTTTAATGTTGTTGTAAGAGTTCCTTGTCTGTAATTATAACATGTTCTGTTCTTCCTTGTTACTGTTAGACTTCATCTGGTGTTTTTTTTTTTAATATAATCTAATTATATTGTTTCAAGCATATGTTAAAATTTAATCATGAGATTTTCTAGTGGGTTGTGACATTTTTTTGTGTAAATCATGTCTCCATATTCAATATATTAAAGAATCTATGGCATGTTTGTAGTATAATATAATATTCTCATTTCGAAGGACAATGGTCTTTTAGAATTTGATTACTTTAGTGGTATTTGCATAAATTGTTGTGCCCATGTGCTTATGGGGCCATCCATCACGTCTCTTACGTCATCGTTTAACTTAGATGAAGTTTGAAGATGATATGCATCTAAGCTTATTGTCAGTAGATATTATTCTCTTTGGGTTTTTTCTTTCGGCGTCCCTTCAATGTTTTTTAGGGGAGGTTTCACGTCCTTATGTAGAATGGTTTGTTCTCCTCCACAACCGATGTAGGACCTCACAATCCACTCTCTCTCTGGTATTCAGTGTTCTTGCTGTCACTCGTTTCCCTTTCTAATCGATGTGAGATCTTACCTGATAATTGATGTTTTGAAGCTATTTTTCTTTATACGAGAGAGAATAGCTATAGGAAAAGTTAAGGAATATTGTGAAAGGATCGAGGTGATGTGAAAATGAGTAGAGTTGCAAACATAACCCCAAAATTATGGGCATATGATTTGGGATATTGAAGCAAATATGAATGGGTCACATGAAGCTATCACTAAAAAGAGGAATATAACCAAAAAAGGAGTGTGAGTTTCAGTGATGGTATCAAGAAATTTCTGTCCTCCTACTGGTCCACCAATATTCCCATCTTTTCTTAGTAAAGATATTGCATTTTTCACGTATTCGTGAGTGTTTGCACTAGTTAGTATGTATCTCGACTATTTACGAGGGACATATACTAGATCGTATTACTTTTAGTTGTCAAGAAAACTCGTGGGATACTAAATTTGATGTTGACATCAACCATCCCTTTTGTAGAATACTAGAAAAAATCGTGGTGGTTCTAGTTGTTTGCATCTATATATCTTGAGATCCTGCATCGGTTGGAGAGGAGAACGAAATATTTTTTATAAGGGTGTGAAAACTTCTCCCTAGTAAATACGTTTTAGAATTGTGAGGTTTCACAACAATAAGTAACGGACTAAAACAGACCATATCTGCTAATGGTGGACTTGAACTATTACAAATGAAACGAGAGTTGGACATCGAAGTATATGCCAGTGAAGACATTGGACCCTCAAGACGTGTCTTAAAATTGTGAGACTGACGACGATATAGATAAATGTAATGATACCGTGGGCGGGGCGGCTCTTGAAAGGGTATTGAAATGAGTGAAAGTTACGAGAAATGGGTGGAAAAGGAATTGGAAAAGATGAAGATTAAGGGAATGAGGATGGTGAAAAGGTGTGGCTCTCAGCGGTGTGGGTCTCCCACAAACAGAGGGTCGGTGTAATAATTTAGGAAGCACTAAGATTCTTGTTGTCTCCTCCCTTCATCACCATGTGATAATGCTTTACTATTATTATCCTTTCAAAATTTTAAATATTTATTTTATTAATATATTTAGACGCACTCACATTGCTATGTCAATCGAGCTTATGGTGGATCAGTTAAACAGTTGGGCTGTGTACTTAGTGTTATGGTCATGTTCATGCTCGTCTAAGACGTATTACGCTCAACCCATGTTCGACAAAATCATGTTTAGGCTTGACAGACTTGATTACATCAAGATGTACTTTAAGAGGAGACTAAGTAGCCATCAAACCTCTAGATAGAGTATTGTAATTTCTCTTGCGTCATGTTTTCAATGAATTAACTTTTGAGCATACACGAGACTATGATAAACTTACTAAAATCAAAATCAAAATAATCACACCTATTTTTGGGCCAAAGGGTGAATGGCAGCCACCAGGTCATTCCAATCTGATAACAACGCACTTTCCCTTTCATTTCTACCAATCGAACTCGGTCAACCATCCCATTTTCGACCTTTTCTCACCTCCACAAATCTCCTCTTTATTTCTCGAGCCATTATTCAACTAAGCCAGTACAATTTTTTCATTCAATACAAACGTTCAACGATACAAAACTATCAGCACGTTGTGACGATTCCCTCACGAGCCAAAACGACCCAATCATGCCAAGCAAACTACGGAAGGCCCTCTACGCCGTGAAAGACCAAACCAGCATAAGCCTCGCCAAAGTTTCCTCCTCCACCGGCGGTCCCAATGCCATCTCCCTCGAAGTCGCCATCCTCAAAGCCACCACTCACGACGACGTCCCCCTCGAGCAACGCTACGTGGCGGAAATCCTCCAATTAATCTCCGCCAACAAATCCCACGCCGCCGTCTGCGCCCATTCCATCGCTAAACGCATCAACAAAACCCGCCATTGGATCGTGGCATTGAAATCCCTTAACCTCGTGCTCAAAATCTTCCAAGACGGTGACCCTTATTTCCCGCGCGAAGTTCTTCACGCTATGAAACGTGGCGCCAAAATTCTCAACCTCTCCAATTTCCGAGACGATTCCAATTCAAGCCCTTGGGATTACACTGCCTTTGTTCGAACTTTTGCTCTGTATCTCGACGAGCGCTTGGATTGTTTCTTAACTGGGAAGCTTCAAAAGCGATTCACTGAACGGAAAACAGAGAGTTTCCATGGAAATACCCGACGGATCAACGAGCCGATTCGGGATATGAAACCGGCGATGTTAATTGATCGGATTTATTACTGGCAGAAGTTGTTGGACAGAGCAATCGCCACCAGACCTACTGGACCGGCGAAGGGGAATCGATTGGTTCTGAATTCCCTTCACGCCGTCGTCCAAGAGAGCTTCGATTTATACAGGGATATCTCCGATGGGCTTGCGCTTCTTTTGGATAGCTTTTTCCATTTGCAGTATCAGTCATGTGTTAATGCGTTTCAAGCTTGTGTCAAAGCAGCGAAGCAATTTGAGGAATTGGGTTCTTTTTATGATTTGTGTAAGAGCATTGGGGTTGGAAGAACTTCGGAGTATCCGAGTGTTCAACAGCCCTCCGATGAGTTGATTGAGACATTGCAGGAGTTCTTGAAAGATCAAGCTTCCTTCCCATGTCATGACAGCCGGTCGCCACCGGCGCCGGTGATTCTTTCGGGAACAATTTCGACGATGAAACTCACCGACGATCTCGAACAATCTGAATCGTCGGATAAGAATTCTGAGAGGGAGTTGGATTTTAACTCGTTTGGGGAAATGATGAGCGCTACTGGAAGCTGGACTAGTCCTGCGAATTCCGTCGAGCAAGAAGGTGAAGGGTATTCCGATTATCAATCGGAGAAGCAATCCCGGTTGGGAGATTTTGCTAATGAATCAAATCTGTCTCCGAATTTCGCTTTCTTTGAAGACGACGAAACGCCCTTCCAAGAAGAAACCGAATTAGGGGCTGCTCGGGGTTTGAGATGTGGGGACTGGGAGCTCGTTCTGGCGGAGTCGGCGACGGACACGGCGGAAGAATGGCCGGATTTCTTCGCTCCTTCCATCGGCGACGACCCATTTGAGAAACCCTTTACTTCGCCGCAGCACCAGTACAACAACCCGTTCCTTCAAGATTCAAATGAATCGTTCGCAGTTCCGCCGACATTCAAAGCAGAGACGGAAATCGCTCCGACATTTCGCGCCGAGAACGTTAAGGAAGCTGTGGCCGTAGCCCCAACTTTCAGAGTGGAAACGCCAACATTTTCTTCACAGAATCAAAATGGTTCAATGTTCGATGATTGGGGCCCAATCCCAAATGGGTCTGGGTCTGGGTTTGAGTTTGATTTGGGGGCTGAAAATGATCCGTTTGCAGAGGCGTGGGATAGCAGTTTGAATGGAAATGAACCAAGTTTAAACGTGATGGATCAAGAAAGTTTGTTGCAACAGCAGAAATTGTGGAAAGAGCAGCAAAACAAGATCATAGCTAAGCATTCGGAATGATTTGGAGAAAAAAAATGGGAATTTGGGATGTAAATTTAACACAACAGCTTATTGGCTTGTAAATAGCTTCGCAGAGTTTATTCAATTCATAAAAAAAATCATTACTTTTATCACTAAAAAAAAACCGTCAAAGCTCTCACTTGTAGATATGAATACTTCATTACTCTCTCTCGCTCACCTGAGATTTCACAGTTCACTACTTTGGGTCATTGCATTCTCGCTGTCACATTCTCTCCAATCTATGTGAGATCTCACAATCCCCCCCTTCAGGGCCAGCATCTTCGCTGGCACAATGCCCGATGTCCACTCTCCTTTAGGACTCAGTGTCTTCACTGGCCACACTGCCCTTCATCTGACTCTAATACCATTTGTACAGCACAATTTTAAACCGCTTTTACTACTGCGCCTCACAACTTTAACCGTGTTTACTAGAAAAAGATTTCAACTATCATTCTAAGGAATGTTTCGTTCTCCTCTCCAACCATTCCAGCTCCTCCGGCAAAGTTAGGCAAAGTTAACTTTGCTTTGGGACAGTCAAGCTCACCCTTTCCTACATTTTTTCTCCCTCCGGACCAGAAATCACATGGATCTAGGCCCATAATTGCGAACCTCCCCTCCCTCACACATGGGATGATGCCCATCTCCTCTCCTGAGTGAACCCCAAGCTTTCACAGCCCTACAAGATTTATCCTTCAAAGCAATAAAGAAGGATCCCTAGCTATAAATAATTAGTGGGGTTGGCATTGTTTTCACAGTAAGAGAAGAAACCACAAGGCCCCACCCTTCTTCCATCCTTCTCTTTTCTCCATTATTATCCCCTTCAGATCTGGATATGGCTACGGCCATAGAGTACTGGATGATGAAACACAAACATACAGAATCAGACAGAACACAACCCATTCAGCTCAACACAACAAAACAAAAACGATTCAGAGCATCATCATCACCATGATCCGACACATTTGTTGGTCAAAAAAGTATACACAATCAATCAAAATGAAACATAAATTTCTTTCTTTTTCTTCTTCAATAAATAATAAAAT